TTTTACTTTAGAGGATTTTCGTGTTAATATCGTATTGTAAAATCTCCAAATCAATCGGAACTATCTAATTAAACAGGTCATGTCATGTTAACTTGGTTAATTAAACGGATTGTAAACTCTTAACATCAACTAACTCAATTTTTGTGTCCAGTTTATATCGTATAGTGTCAGCTTTTTCCATCTCTATTCTAATTTCTACCCAATCACAACCACACTCTAATGGATTGTTGAATTTTAGGTTGTGAAAAATTAATAATTAATTTTATACAGTCGTACGGAGTAGGTAATATTGTAAGAAACAAGAAACATGAAAGAATTTAGCAGATTTGTCTCAGAATATATATACAATTATTACAATTTGTAGGGTTTCTTTATACTTTAAAGCTTTTATACTTTAAAGTAATTACTAAGACATTGTCAAAAATCAATGTCTTTGCAATTGACTTAATCAAACAACCTATCCTTAGTTAAATTATGTTAATGAAAAAACTTGTCTTAAGGCCTAGCTAAGTAGCTAGCAACCTAGCATCACATCACTATTCATTTTCTCATTAAGTATTAAATTCTAGAAAAGGAATTGACTGAATTTTCAACCTTTATAATACCAATTGTTATATATTAGCTAATCAATGATGCAAGGTGTACAATTAGGTTAAAAAACACTTTATGTTGTTTTCTTGGATCGGTTGTTGAAAAGTAGTTTTTATTTAAAGTAATTACTATGACATTGTCAAAAATCAATGTCTTTGCAATTGACTTATTAATCAAACAACCTATCCTTAGTTAAATTATGTTAATGAAAAAACTTGTCTTAAGGCCTAGCTAAGTAGCTAGCAACCTAGCATCACATCACCATTCATTTTCTCATTAAGTATTTAATTCTAGAAAAGGAATTGACTGAATTTTCAACCTTTGTTATACCAATTGTTATATATTAGCTAATTAATGATGCAAGGTGTACAATTAGATTAAAAAACACTTTATGTTGTTTTCTTGGATTGGTTGTTGAAAGTAGTTTTTATGGATGTACTCCATTAATAATTGAGATTAATTAAGACTAGACAAGCTTAGAAAAAAAAGTTTTAAAATTTTTAAACAATTTTTTTTGAGAAGTTTAGACAAACTTTCAATTGTTTGATTGGTTCAACGTATTGTGACTGAAATTATCCCTCAAATTATGTTTACTATAGCAAACCGTATATGTGAATATGTTTGAACTTAATTAAACTTATTGAGTTTGTCTAATTACTAGAACTATTTTTGTGTGCTAATTAAAACAAGATCAGACACAATCTCGTACTTCATTTGTTTTCTTTCATTTTTTTTCTTTTACTTACAACATAGCCTCAAGGCATACAATTTTAGGAGGTATTAATTAGATAACACTACAAGAAAATTACCTTTTCGTAGCGATTATTCTAACCTTTAGTATTGGTTGTATTTGCCCAAAAAACTTTCCTAACGAATGGTCATTCGATACAATATCCGCCGTTACCATAACCTTTAGTAGTGTTTTTCGATATATATTGCTGGGGTTAGACTCAATAATCGATACGAAAAACTAAATCGAATCGTGGTGATTATTGTAGCGATTATAATCGCTATAAATGTTGAACTCAATTTCTACAAAATTAATAAATAAAAAAACCCATATATGTGATATATACAAGTTTCGAACATGCAACCTCAAGGTCGTCTAATTAAATTAAATGTTTTACCAATAAGTTATGACATATTTTATGTATTGTTTGTCAAACAAAATTTATAAATCTAGCTAGTGTAGAACAGACTTTTCGTATTGATTTTTGGGTTTTAGTGGCGAATGTAAACGATACGATTTTCCGTAATTTTATAAATGTGTAGAAAAAGTGAATATGTATTATTATTTTTTCCGTATTGATTTTATATGAGTTTACCATGGCAATTGTAAAATGATAGGATTTCCTCTACTATTTCACAAACATACGTGCATATTGTAGCGAATGTACAATCACTACTAAACAATCGCTACGAAAAGACATTGTAGTGTAAACAGATGAACAAATCTATCAAAATAAGTTTAATACCACAGGAAATAGGGAAGGGTTTATCTTGACTAATTCATCCATTTACATTATCTAATTTCTAGCTTTCTCATAGTGAGTACCACGAGCTAGTTGTGTTGCAACATACTAATAAAATAAAACCCTAAGTGAATGTCAATGTCAATAAGTGTGTATAAATTTAGTTTAGACAAAATAAGTTAGGACTGTAATCAAGTTAAAATAATTCGAATCAAACAAATTATATTAGACATGGATGTACCCTTGACCTACCTAAAAGTTCTACTAGTATATAACTATGTACAAGTATAATATACTAGTTTTGTGTCCGGCCGATGCCTGGATTGTTGATAAAATTTTAGGATAAACTTTTTGGCTTGATTGTTAAGTACGGTCATATAATCCCTTTTGAAAATGAAAAATATTTAGGCATATGATATCATATCTCTTATTTATATAATAGTGTATTTTTTGTAGTTTTGTTTGTAAATAGATATCTACTCATGTTATTATTAACTTGAAATTATTTTTATGAACTTAAATTATTTTTACCAACTAAGAATATTTTTATTGATTAAAACTTATTTTTATTGATTCTATATAACTCCGTATTTTTTAAATAAATCTAATATATATAAATAAAGTAGGCATTTTTGGAGAGCATTTGGAGCGCCACGTAAACTTATTTCGACCAATAAGAAGAAAGATTTGTATTTTATTTTTGAATTAAAAAATTATGTCGCCACCTAGATAAAAGTAACGAATTAGATTTGATATATCTAAAATTTTAATGCCGTGTAGATTATAATCCACGAATTAAATTATTTTAATGAAAAAAATAAAGTAAAAATATAGGAAAAGATAATTTATTAATTCAATAGTACAAGTATAAGAAATCCGAAAAAAATATACTAAAAAATATTTAAATGATAAACCCTTATAATAAAATTTGATACCTATCATTATAAGATAAATTTTGATAGTATTTATGATAAGAAATATAAAATTTTCGTTAATTATAATGAAATTAAAATTTGTGATACCTACCATTATAAATTGACACATCATACGACACAAACAAAATTTCGTATCAATAAAAAACCCCATCAAGCGAATTTTGTGTTAGCAATTTTGTGTTAATTTTTGGTCATCAATGCCCGGGTAATTTTTAGCTTAATTTTTAAAATCCTATGTTTAAATTAGCATTTCTAATTATTATTTACATTGTATTAATTTGGGATACTCAACGATTATATGTTTATGTATTATATACTAAATGTTTTTTTACATGCAGATCTAACACATCATACGACACAAATAAAATTTCGTATCAATACAAAACCCCATCAAGCGAATTTTGGTGTTAGTAATTTTGTGTTAGTTTTAGGTCATCAATGTCCAGGTAGTCTTTAAAATCTTATGTTTATATTTATATTTGTAATTATTAGTTACATTGTATTTATTTAGGATACTTAACGATTATTTGTTTATGTAATGGCATACTATTAGATGTTGTATACTTAATATATGGATGACTTTGGTTATTTTTGGAGATGATGAAAAAATTCCAATGCATAGATTTGATTTTATATCGCAACAATTCTTCATATATTGGTAAATATATTGATTTATTTTATATAAAAGTAAAGATTTAATTTATATCAATTTCAGTTTGGCTAACATTTCACGGTTCAATTTATCCATTGATGTAGTAGGTTGGTTGTGGATGAGGTTGATGATTCTATCGAAATAAAAGATATGGTAAAACAATGAATAATGATTTAGGATTTAAATTATTAAAAATTTATCATTTCACATTAAAGATTTTATATAACGGAAAAAATATCATATTTACGAATTTATTTATATTTAATAAATTCATTCTAAATTATAGTAAAAAAAAAATTAAACTTTTGTAATTTTGTCCGAAATTATTAAATACAATAAATCAAATAATTAAAAATCTTAGATGAAAAAACCGTGCATCGCACGGGCTTCCATCTAGTTATATATATTATAAGTGGATCTTATTTTAAAGAACTTTTTAAAACGAATTTCATGATGGAAATAAAATCGAGTTATAGGATATTTATTAAAAGTTATGATTAATTTTGTATAAATGAAATATTAGAACTTTAGAAATATACCGATAATAAAACTCTATACAATATTTTTATATGGAAAAAAATCCGAAAATCATCATATGTGTCACAATAATATCTTATTGTGGCCTATGTGGCTCGACACTTGGCGAAAAATTAGAATGCCAAGTGTCGCTGTCTCGTGGGTTGGCTGCAAGACTGGCTTTATTTATTATTAGTGACTAGTGTTGTGCCCCCGCGATGCCCCGATGGTTTGTTGAAATTTAGGAGAATTTTTTTTGGCTTGAATGTTAAATACGGTCATATAATTTGATCCGTTTTGATAATGCAGGATATTTAGACATGCGATATCATACTTAAATTATTTTTACTAAACTGAAAGTATTTTTACTAAACTAAAATTATTTTTACTGATTAAAACTTTTTTTTTTTTTTTTTTTTCTAATTCTCTATTATTATTTAAAATAAAAAATAAAAAATAATATATTATAAATGGATCGATCTTATTTTAAAGAACTTTTTAAAATGAATTTATGATGGAAATAGAACCGAGTTATTAGATATTTATTAGAAGTTATGATTAATTTTGTTTATATGAAATATTAGTAGTTTATCGATAATAAAACTCTATGCAACATTTTTATCTTAAAAAATCTATCCAAAATTCGCTTACTTAGCATCATATGTGTCACAATAATATCTATTTTTCGTCTATATGGCGCGACACTTGACGAAAAATTGAAATGTCAAGTGTCGCTGTCTCGTGGCTCGGCTGCGAGACCGGCTTTATATATATATATATATATATATATATATATATATATATATATATATATAAAGAGTTGGTGCACATTGAGAAACCTTGCAACCTTAAATTAACCAACCTACTTCTATAACGTACAAGCTAGAAAGAGAGAAGTAATAATAATGGAGAGAAGATTGTATGATGCAGCAAGAAAAGGGAGTGTAAAATCTCTACTAGATTTGCTCAAAGAAGATCCAATAATTCTTGACAGAATTTCCACTTTAGGAATATATTCAGAAACACCCCTTCATATAGCTGCTACTTTAGGTAACGTTGACTTTGCTAAGGAACTTCTAAGAAGAAAGCCTACCCTTGTCTCTGAAGTTGATTTACACAAATCCACACCACTTCACCTTGCATCAGCCACCAACAACGTCGAATTCGTAAGACTTCTTCTCAACGCTAGCCCCGGGATCGTGTGTCGAGCACAGGACGCGTATGGAAGATGTCCTGTTCATGTTGCAGCTATTAAGGGTCGGGTCGATGTGTTGAAAGAGTTGATGCGAGTTGATCATGGTGCCGCCCTCGTTAGGACGGACCAGGATGATAGTATTTTACATTTGTGTGTTAAGTTTAATCAATTTGAAGCATTGAAGTTGTTAATGGAAAAAATTGGTGATGCTGCGTTTTTTAACTGCGGGGATTATGATGGCAATACGATCTTACATCTTTCGGTTCTTAACCAACAAACCGAGGTATGGTTGTATTTTGGTTACTACGTATGGACTAGTCTTACAGTCTTACCTATATGTACTTCTTTGTCTCATTCACGTCATTACAATTTTATTAAGAGAATTACGTATATTAGAATTGATAAATTTGTCATTTATTCTAAATCATGTGAAGTATGTACAAGTAGAAATTAAAAGAGAGCAAATTTTAGAACGGAGAAAGTAAGCATGACTCCATACAAAAACTTTTGTTTATCTTCTAATTGTGCTCATATTTAGATGAAGATTTTACCCTTCATGGAGGTTAGACTTATTTAGTTCATATATATATTTTATTACTCAAATTAATCTAATTGAAGCTGGCATGATCGTCTAATTGAATTTATTGTTATATAACTACTACGTACAATAACATTTTTTTGGGTGATGGACTAAATTTGAGCTTAGGTTGAATACTCAAATCCTATGTTTTTCTTCCTTGCATCAGATCTCCCACAACATTTAATTTTCATAAAATAGTATGGAGAATTTAGTTATTTAATTTGTTGCTCATGTTAATGGATATCATCACATATTAGTATATTATATCAGTTCATTGCTTTAGTCTTATCTTTTATAAATTACACATATATGGTTTTAAGGATCCAAATAAAAAGAATTGTCGTTGGTGAGTAAGCCTTTTGAAAAAAATTCTATAAAAAAAGAATTTAATGTACCATTGACTTTGACAATTTACACGCTACATAAGAAGTTCAATTGTAATGTGAAAGTTGTGCTTGACTTTATGTCTTGCGCAATGGATACATGCCAACTAGTTGTCCAGCTTACATAAATTGATTAAAGCATTGACGGTGATAACTCAAGACATGAGATCAAATCTCGTTTAATTTATATAAGTGTGTGGGCGCAACTGCGCGAATGATCGTACGCCGATTTTAATACTATTCACTAAATGTTATGTTAATAGGTGATCAACTATCTACTCCAAAACACCACCATAGACATCAACGCAAAGAATGCAAAAGGCGAAACAGCAATGGACATCTTATACAAAGATGCAGGTGGTATAATTGGGCGCACCCTTCACAACGCCGGAGCCATTACTTCAAACCTTCCACCATCTTCGCTTCCTCAAAACAACGGCGGTATAAGGAAAAACTCTGTGCTAAAGTACTTGCAGGACAAACAGGAAGCTGTAATGATCGCAGCATCACTAATAGCAGCCGCCGCCTTTCAAGCTGCTGTCAATCCTCCTGGAGGCATTTACCAAGAAACTTATGATGACTTAGGAAAAGAAGTAACGACAAAGCGTAAGGCAGGCACTTCTATTATGGCATACAGTGACTCACGCCTTTACACTGCGTTCATTGTCGAAAACACGGTCGGGTTTTTAGCTGCCCTGTCTGTGTTCCTGTTGCTCCTAACAGGGTTGCCTCAGAAGTACAAGTTCTTTAAGGGGCTTTTTATGGTATCGATTTGGATGGCTATTGTTGCGATTGCAGCGAGTTACGTGTCTTCTGTAATAACACTTGCTCCTCCTTTGGAAAAAGATAAGATCGTTGCATTCTCTTATGCAGTGTTAGTCATTGCTGTACTGTTATGGATTTTAATTATTTTGTGGTATGCGGGTCTTGGTCCTCGCATAGTTGGGATTATTCAGCAGAGACGTGCCTCGAAAAACGGACCGATGACACGGACGGGTAGTCTCCTTGGTGGAGCAGCTGGTGGTACTGGCAGTGTGTAATGATCCTGCTATGTTGTTGTTTTGTCGATAATGTGGTTGAATTATAAACGCAGAGTGGAAAATTTTGTGTACATTTGATGTATTGTGATAGTTGTGTATTTTGTTGTTGCTGAATGTTGTTTGTTAGTCATCCTGTTTTCCAAATTTGTATACAAAATGTGCTTGTAAAAAATGTGGCTTGATTGGGGAAGTTGATCCATCACTAAGTTTCAATTTTTACTAAATGATTTGAATTTAATCAGATCAACAACTTATTCATACTATTGATTTTTGGGCATATACAATAGTGCTTTCTTTTTCGTTAATATTCTATTATCTGTACTCTGAATATTGATTCATTCTCTTGGAGGAGAGCTTTTGACATAACTCACCTGAATTGTTGCACTGAGAAATAGAATATAACTATGGTGAATAATTTATAATTTTTAATTGGTGAGGAAGATGATAGATAATTGCTCAATATTTCTGAAGGAAGACCTTCATAAATACTACCCCCGTTAACTATTATGTATTGTACAACTTTAGGGCTATGCATGACCTCCAGGTTGAAAAATCTTGGGTTGTTTTAATTGTTTAAGAAAGTGATCGAAGGCATGTCATTTTTAAATTAATCAAATCCAAATCCTCATATTAAAAGAAACAACAAAATTCAAAGAGCATAACACAAAATCATCAAAATCTTACAATCCATAATAATACTCCACTAGTTTCGTGATGATGAAAATAGTATACCTTGTACAAAATTTTAGGAAATTTATAGATGGGGTAATTAGGTGAATTTTCTAATATAAACTAGTATTTAGCTCGGGTGATGCCTCGAGTTGTTAGTTTGTATTTGTTTAATTTGATACTAACATTCGATTGTTTTTTCTTAGTGTGTTGATGATAATCTTGAAATTTTAATGATGTGGATCTCTCAAGAACTCACAAGGCTCGCAAGTTATAATAACATTAGATCCTCGGATTTTAACAAGAACTAAAGAATTACACGAAAAATTAAAAGGATAGTATTCTAATTCTCGCAAGAGGGTCTCTTCGTAGTCGCAAAACCAGAAGATGATCACGAGTCACAACAAGTGATGTTTTTGATTAACAATCAAACGAGTAACACTCAAAGGATTAATTCCCAAAACAAATCTCTCTCATTCATTCTTAAAAAAATCACTATTGATATGCACCTATATTTATAGGGTAGACTATCATACAAAGATAAGATAGAAAACTAATAATTATATCCTAAAATAAGATAGAATATTAACAATCTTTATCCTAATATATCTCCTAATCATATTTATAACCAACTACTAAATCTATCCTAATAAAAATAAATTAAACAAATAAATCTATCCTAATAACTAAAACTCTTAAAGCCTAAAAATAGGAAAAATCCTTTCAAGTGAAAGGTAAAAACCCATAGGTAAAAATCCTAATAATTAATAATTACTAAAGGATAGTGTATGTTTCTAGAAATTTCATGAATTTTCAAGAAAACCCATATTGGAGTATTGCTCCCGCATCATTTAATATTTTAAAAAAGATTTAATGTGTATCCGGAGAACCATATTCAATATTTTGTAAGTTATGATATAAAGATATTTAACTATTGACTATTTAAAGATATTCAACTATTGACTATTTAACATAAACTTCTAATTTTTTTTATTAAATAAAAAAAATATACAATTTTTAAAACTTCATAATTAAAGTTAAATTATCTTATGACATGTAACAAATAGTACAATTAAGGACTAATCATCTTATCCAAGATAACTATAATTTTATTGGGTAAAAAATGCACAATATATGGATAGCTAAGGTGGTAAGACTTGTAATGCAATACATGTTGGTCTATAGATCAAGTCTTTGTGTAAGCATTTTTGTGGCACATATTCTGTATGTGGAAAGTTTTTTAATATATATAAAAACTAGTCTATGGGCTCGGGTGACACCCCAGGGTACGTACTACATGGGGTTGATCATTAATATACGTTTTAATTTATGACTTAATTTTCTTGTAATTAAATTTGTTATTCATACTGTCATTCGCTACATATTATTAGAATAATAGCATTATTTTGTATTCAAAAGATAACATAATATATCACATATAGCCTGATGGTAAGACACTTAATTCTAGAATTGAAGTGAGGTTGCATGTTCAAATCTTAGGGAGAACTTTATTTTATTTTATTTTATTTTATTATTATAATTATAAGTGCATGCCATGTAATGAGAAACAAATGGAAGGGAGGGCCACGTGGCGTAATGAGAAGTTGAGGGAGTGGCGTGGTATAATGAAGAAGTTTACGTGACACATAAACAATCTTAGGAACCCTTTTTAATAGATTAACATAGTGTGCGGTCCGAGCATCGTATCGGGTTGCTACTTTAAAAATGTTAGTAAAAAAGATGATTAAAAGATAATAACTCTCCATTGTCTTGAAATTGTTGAGGCTATTCCTCTTTATTTATTTTTCCAGCCTACATATTTATTTTTTATTCGCTTTTGTATTTAAGGGAGGGCCACATGGCGTAATGAGAAGCTTAGGGAGTGACATGGTGTGATGAAGGAGTTTACATGGCATATAGACGTTTTAAGGAGCCTTTTTTAATAGATTAACATAGTGTGTGGTCCGAGCATTGCACCGACGGGTTGCTACTTTAAAACATAATGTTAGTAAAAAAGAGGATTAAAAGATAATAATTCTCCATTGTCTTGAAATTGTTGAGGCTATTCCTCTTTATTTATTTTTTCTGGCCTACATATTTGTTTTTTATTCGCTTTTGTATTTACTTAAACATATATTAATTTATGTGTATATAGAGAACATAAATTACTATTGGCTAAGATGATAAAAAGTGTACTTTATATCCATGAAGTTTGGTGTTCATAACTTGTGGGATGCTTTTTTCTAAATAATAATGACATTTGACATGGTATAATTGTTGCAATACTAGTGGTGACGTGGCGCTATATGCTAGTTAAATGATGACGTTGCACAATGATAGCATAGACCTACGTGGCATATAGACATTTTTGAGAACGCTTTTTAGCATATATATAAATATAAACATAAATCTCTACCTTATAAAAAGTACAAGATTACTCTTATGAATAGTGTGATGCCAATTATACCCTTCAAAATATGTATTTGCATATATACTCTCATTAATATGTACAACTTTTTTTTTTTAATTAATGAATAGTGCTTGGACAATTATACCATCTAAAACGTTTATCTACTTATTTGCCCTCATTAATGATAATTACGTATTTTTTTATTTTTTTATTTTTTTTAAACTCTTAAGAATAGTGCGAGGACATTTATACACCTAAATATATTTATGTATGTATTTTCTCTCATTAATGCTGCCAATAACTAAATTTGTGATGTAAGGCCAAACCGGAAGAGATTCTGGATATGGCTAGCTATGACGCGCTTATCGCGCGCGTTAGCTGCCCTGATATAAATATTAATATAAATAAAGTATAGATAAAGATAAGTATAGATTACATTATAATTAGTGTGGATATATTATATTATTAATGGAGAGAGAAATAATAATAATAATAATAATAATAATAATAATAATAATAATAATAATAATAATAATAATAATAATAAAGTAGTATAATTAAGTAGGGTTAGTATGAGAGAGAAATAATAACATATTTATGCAAGTGGACCTAGTGGGGTAAGCATGATAGAGAAATTAGTAGTAGGTCTTTACTATATTAGAAAGTGTTGTAATTATTTTGAAACGGATGTGAAGAAATATGTTGCGATTATTACGAAATGGGCTGGGGCTACCCTGCTTCAATCCTTTCAGATTATAACAAACATAAAAACAAAACAAAGAATGAATACAAAATTCAAAATCTACCCAAAAAACTAACCTTAACCCAAAATTATTTACAAATGAAAGTCGCCCAAAGTTATTCAATAAATGGATTTATAAAAAAAATAAAAAAAATAAAGTAAAATCTTCCACTGTCTCACCGCCTTCACCACCACCTAACACTAGTGTTGATCAAAGTCAGCCCGACTTGAGCTGGCACGATTTTCGACAGATTTTTTCAGCCTGAAATAGGGTCCGGCCTGATTTTTAAATATTTTTTATGGGCTTGAGAATGCGTTTTTACGCAGTTTTAGTTGTTCTTTGGCCCGACCAAAAAATGGCCCGAAAAACCTGCATGACCTGATTATTTTGGGCGGATTTGGGCACAAACTTTCCGGCCTGAAGCTTGGCTTGGTCCGACCCAAGAAATGGCCTAATTATTTTGGCCTTGACTAGGCCCGCCCGCCAAGAAAACTATGACGGAAAGACTTTCATGAATGAAATCCATAAGTATAGAATCTAAATCCAAGAAGAATCACCTCTACCTAACACCCATCCTCCGTTCGACCACCCTAACTACAAACCCCCAAAGCCGCCATATAGCTAAAAAAAATGTGTTAATCACCGCTATTCTTTGAAAAACTAACCTAACCAACTCGACAACCACCCTCTTTAAAAAACAAAGCTAGCCCGATAACCACTTTCTTCGAACAATCACCAACATCAATCCTTGACAGATTTTGAATTAGATCAAATCTTAACTTATGAGGAGAGACTTGTCAAGATCCTTGAGAGTAAAGTGCGAAGTACACACAACAAGGATGTTAAGATTGTTAAAGTGCTATGGTCTAACCAAGAATATAAGGAAACAACTTGGGAAGCCGAGGATGAGATGAAAAAGAAATACCCTGAGTTGTTTGAGGTATGTTGAGTTACGGGGACGTAACTCGTTTTCTTTAAGGGGGTAGAATGCGGTAGAATTTTGCGCTTTTTCCCTCTATTTTCAGTTATTTTAGTGCTTTTTGACCATTTTTAACGGTTATTTTGAGTACTTTTGATTTCAAGGAGACATTAAAGGTAAAAGTATGTCAAAAGAGTACAACAATATTATACAAAGTGAGGAAAAAGTTTGATTCTCGTTACCCAAGTTTCGGGATGAAACTTCTATTAAAGGGGGTAGACTGTAATACCCCGTATTTTTATACATATTTTAATTTAAATTATTATTTTATGAAGCATTTAAATAATTTGAAATATATTGTTTATGGTATTTTATTAATTTAAAAAGGTTTATTTTAATTAGAGGTCCATTTTTATTTATTTAATTGCTTTGAAAATATTTTATTTTATTATTTAGAAACT